CTTCCTCTCTCATCAGTGCTGCTACTGCCTCATGCTAGGAAGAGGGCAAGCCCACTCCGACCCCACCAACTTCAGCCCATCAAAATAGGAGCTACAGAGGTGGTTGTGATAGCGTGCATTTTCATTAACTACTTACCGCCTCAGAGTTATCGATGAGGAATCAGATTCATCATAACCATACCCCATATCAATCAAGTCCTGTATTCGGTCTTTCTACGTTTCTTTCCACCCTAAAATTTAAAAGCAACAGAACATAGCTTTTTGATAAATACACAGAATTGTTGCCTTGAACTTCATCAGCTAGTGATTAAACCCTATACACACCGCAACAGTCCTCTCACATGTCCCTCCAAATACTCCTTCCCTAAAGACCTTTCAACATAGCACAGATGTTATCTGCATAAAATGGTCTCTCATGCTTCATACCTACACATTCTCTCCAAGGCAGGTAACAGGCCTTCTTGTTCATTTGCTCAGCACCACACACAGCTCTACCACATGCCTTTTCTGTACCTCAATGCATTTGTTTAACAGCTACATTCTGTTCTAAGCTCTACACTTATTTCCAGATAAGTGTGATTACATGATTTCTACTAAAGGAACATGGAAATGTCTAAAAAACTCTCCCACCCAATGAGGTTCTTTTGTTGCCCAAGAGAAATCTTACATATTTCTTCAAATTTGCGGGTCTATGGTCTTCGTTTAAAAGATCTGAGGATCTTTCTTCTGTAAAGAAACCATTACACAAAAAATAAATCACAAAATAGTTCCGCATTCCTATTCATAGAACATTTGCTGAGTACTCAACACGTATAAACTGCATAATAGAAACTGTTTTTCAGGCCAGGCACAATGGTTCACACATTCTGGGAGGCCGAGGCAGGAGGATCGCTTTAGGTCAGGAGTTCGAGACCAGCCTAAGCATGAGTGAGATCCCGTCTCCACTAAAAGAGAAAATTAGCCAGACAACTGAAAATAGAAAAAAATTAGCTGGGTGTGGTGGTGCACACCTGTAGCCCCAGCTACTCAGGAGCTGAGGCAAGATGATCACTTGAGCCCAGGAGTTTGAGGTTGCTGAGAGCTAGGCTGATGCCATGGTACTCTAGCCTGGACAATAGAGCGAGACTGTCCAAAAAAAAAAAAAAAACCCAGCTGTTTTTCAGAAAAAGGTAGGATACATGCTTACATCTCATCAGTGTCTATCTTAATTATTAAAAAAAGTAAAAGTTCCACTCATGTAATTCAGCAAAACTTGATTCAATGCCTACAAACCCCCACCACAGCACAAGGGACTGTAAGGCTTCAAACACAGCAAAGAGCCGTTAGTCAGGGTGCTCAACCTCTACACAGCTGTGATCAGTATAGCTTTCCTTTGAACCCTAAATTTACTTTATGCATTTAAAACATTCTAAGGCCAGGCGAGGTGGCTCACACCTGTAATCCTAGCACTCTGGGAGGCCGAGGCAGGAAGATTGCTTGAGCTCAGGAGTTGGAGACCAGCCTGAGCAAGAGCGAGACCCCGTCTCTACTAAAAAAATAGAAAAAATTAGCCAGTCAACTAAAAATGAAACAAAAATTAGCTGGGCATGGTGATGCATGCCTGTAGTCCCAGCTACTTGGAGGCTGAGGCAGGAGGATCACTTGAGCCCAGGAGTTTGAGGTTGTTGTGAGCTAGGCAGACGCCATGGCACTCTAACCCAGGCAACAAAGGAGACTCTGTCTCAAAAAAAAAAAAAAAAAAAAAACATTCTAAGAAGGGGTTGATAGGATTCACAAGACTTCCCCAATAGCCAATGGCTCAAAATAATTAAGAGGCCACTGAATGTAGTGCAAGTTCTTAAGTGCTGTTCTGCCTTACTGTTTAGAAAAGTGCTCTGAACCTGCATCTCTCTCAGGGCTGCCAAAGTCAAATTCAAGTTCATGGCACTCCCTATCCTTAAAGGTCTATCATCACCCTTTTGTCTTCCCAATATGCATACTCATTCCAAATATTTTCAGTCTTCCAAAGTTTATTTCTATTCTATAAGCTCATTCTTGCATTTTTCTCACCAAGTAAATTTTCTAGAGGTGGGCCTTAGCTTCTTGAGCAAGGAATCTTAATTTTAATATTGTACCAAATATGTTTAAAACTTCAGGACAGACCAAAAACACTAAACATTGAATGTTTTTTGAAAACAAAACTTTCTCATCTCATCCTCCCATATCTGCCTACTGAAATCCCACCCACCTACAAAGTATCAGTTAAATGATTCATGGTATATACATAAAATGGGATATTACAGAACAATATATAATGAACATACAAGTAAGTGGTATTTAAAACATGTGCTTATCTGTACAGATCTTCTAATTTTTCTACAATGATCACATTTAACTTGAGTGGTTAAAATAATTTTAAGAAATTCCAATCTTGGCTGGGTGTGGTGGCTCATGCTTGTAATCCTAGCATTCTGGGAGGCCAAGGCAGGTGGATCATTTGAGCTCAGGAGTTCTAGACCAGCTTGAGCAAGAGCAAGACCCCGTCTCTACCAAAAACAGAAAAAATTACTGGGCAGGGTGGCACATGCCTGTAGTCCCAGCTACTCGGGAGGCTGAGGCAGAAGGATCGCTTGAGCCCAGGAGTTTGAGGTGGCTGTGAGCTAGACTGACACCACGGCACTCTAGACAGGGCAACAGAGTGAGACTCTGTCTGGAAAAAAAAAAAAAATCCCAATCTTGAGCACCACTGGATTCAATGTGTAATCATTAATGCCCTGCAAAACAGTAGTCTTCCAACAACTAATATTTCCTGACTGTATGAAGATCCAGCTCTGTCCAAACATGGCATCCAGGATGTAAGCTCTCTTCTGTCCAAGCCCACTAGGGCTTGTATTTGTTCCAGACTTAAACGATGACCACACCACAACTTCTGTTACCTGTGTTGGTACAAGTCTCCTAAAACATCTACACTACAAGTTGCTTTGGGACTGGTACAGTGTCTTCTCCACCTTTGTAGAGTCCTCAGTGTCTAGTACAGTGCCTTCATATTGTAGGGATTACATGACAAGTTAATTTATACACAAATGTGTCAGATTTAACCATACTTTTAACACTGTAGAGTAGATCCACAATTTAGGAGCTCTGAACCTAAGGTCAGGAATGAATCCCCTGAAACTGGATCCAAAGTTCTATGTGCTCCATGCATTTTTCTACAATGGAGAAGGGCATCTGGAGCCCAAAAAAACATAAAATCAGAGCACTGAGGTTCTAATTTCTGAACTAGATTTTCACTAAACATCTTCTGATTTGGTTTGAGCCTATAAATAACCTATCACTGCCACTTTCTCTTCCTCTCAAGGAAGAGGACACTTCCTACTAGAAAAGGGACTGTGAATAGATTTAAAATTCTTTCTTTCTCATCCTGCCCTCCGGCCTTTATGTAACTGGCTGACCCTCGGTACAGATTCATTGGTTTCCATTCCAGCAATCAGATCTCAATCAAGTAAACACATTTTTTTTTTTATTTATTCTTAATTCTTTTCACTTCCCCAAATCATGGCTTGTTGAAAGGTAAACACATTTTTATCTGAGCTAAGAAAAGCGGGTAAATCTTCTAACCAAGCATACTCCCCTTGCTAAACAGCACAACCCCGAATGAGACTGACAGCACCTGGCACTGAAGCACTCTCATAGAAACTTCACTAACATGATCTCATTCTACCCTAAAACACCCCGTGAGCCAGGCATTAGCCTCATCCCCATTTCACTAAGAGCCACTCTAGAGAGCGGAATGTTGTAGTGGGGCCCACTTACCTTTTCCTCAAAGCCTAGCATAGAGCACAGGTATACAGTAGGGGCTTAAAAATGCTCTACACCTAGCTCTTACCCATACTGTATGATTCCTACACATAATATACAAAAACATGCAAAACTGATCTAAGCTGTTAGAAATCAGGATAGTGGCAGCCTGTGAGGTATGGAGTAGTGTTCAGGAAGGGCAGGAGGGTGGTTTCTGGGGTCCTATAAACATATTTTGTGACCCAGGTGCAGGTTACATGGGTGTGCTGTTTGTGAAAACCCATCAAGTTGTGCATTTGTCATAAGTGCAGTCTTATGTACATAATTCAATAAAAAGTTTTAAAGTGTTAATGAATTACCAAAACAACAGTAATAGCTGAAGCTGCATTATGGGCACATGGATGTTGCTTACATTATGTTCCTTACCTCTGTGTATGTTTGAAAGTTCCATACGAAAAAGTAAAGCTAATCTGTCAGGAAAATAGATCATTTAAAAAACATTTTAAAAATCAAACTGATTTTTCAAACATCCTAAGGCTATAACACAATTCTGGCAAAAAAACAAAATTTTTAAAAAATGTTTTTAAAAAGGCAGAAACAGGTTTCTTTTCCATCCAGGTAAAGGAACTACCCAAAATATTACTGCTTAGAAGAAATGAACAGTCTGTGTCTTTTCTTGTCTGTCCTTAGAATCTTAGAATCTTGCAGAGCAAGATTCCCTTGGAAAAAGAAAATGTCTAGCATGGAATTCCAACACTGGAACAGTCAGGGACTAGTTTCACTTACATGTAACATTTATAACCTAGGCATGAAAAATTTATTGTTAATTTATACTAATTAGCCATCATTTAAATTAGCTTTATATGTACCATACATTTTTCTCTGGCATAAATCAGGAGAATGGTTCTAGAAAGAATTCTCTCCCTTCATGCACAGAGGCAAGACCAGCAAATCTCGTGCTTGCCTTGGGTAAGTGATACGATCTTCGGGCAGCCAGAGTGTTGCTAGTCTTGCTTCCCCACTACAGAAGTACCATGTGCGCACACTGACATCTGTACATTAGGTCTGCAGAGTGACTCTGGGGACACTGAAGTGCACATTGAGCAAGTGATATGATCTTGAAGTGGCCAAAGCCTTGCTAGTTTTGCTTCCTCACAATAGAAGTCCATATGCACACAATGACATTAGGCCTGGAAAGTGCCTCTGAGAACACTGAAGTATACCTTGTCTACAGGTGGAAGGCCTTTTACCTTCCCTCGCATATTCTTCACCAGCTCTGGGTAGAAGAACTCTGGGCAGCGTTTGTGATCTGGTTCAAAGAGGGTGAGTGTAATCCGAACAGCTGCTGCAGCCGGCTCACAGTACTGATGCTGTTCTGCTCCCCCAACCTCCTCTTTCCGGGACTTCTTCAAAAACGCAGGATTCAGAGAACCTGGGAGAGAGGTGAACTGGACCCTGTGGGGCTCCGACATGGCTACCAATAAGTCTTAGCAGGTGTCACTGCATGGCTTCTGTTAACATTGAAAAGAAGGGCAAGGTCAAAGATGATAAAAATAATTTTCCTTCTAATTATAAAGAATTTAAGTTTTTTTCCCCTCAGATCCCATTTCACCAAAAAATACAGAAGCTTAAAAGAAAGAACTTCACTGTCAAGAAAAATCCATTGTTGAATTTATTTTAATTATTTTTTGTTTTTCTGCTTAAATAACATCCTGAAATTTTTTAATTTATGAAAACCACCCCAAATACCATCAGAGTTAGTCACTGTTTAGCACACTTCCTTCCAGTCTTTTCTTCTATGCATCTACACTAGATCCTTGACCTCAAAGAACCCATGCTGACAAAGCCTTAAGAAACCTCAAAATTGGCTAGGTATGGTGGCTCACACCTGTAAGCCTAGCACTTTGGGAGGCAAGACAGGAGGATTGCTTGCGGTCAGGAGATTGAGACCAGCCTGAGCAAGAGACCTCATCTACACAAAAATTAGAAAAATTAGTAGTCATGGTGGTATACTTGTAGTCCCAGCTATTCAGGAGAGTGAGGCAGGAGGATCTCTTGAGCACAGGACATTGAGGTTGCAATGAGCTATGATGATGCCACTGCACTCTAGCCCAGGCAACAGAGTGAAACCCTGTCTCAAAAATGAACACATAAGGCCAGGCCAGGTAGCTCACGCCTATAATCCTAACAGTCTGGGAGGGAGATCGAGACGGATGGATCATTTGAGCTCAGGAACTCAAGACCAGCCTAAGCAAGAGCGAGACCCAGTGTCCATTAAAAAAAAAACAAAAACAGAAATTAGCTGGACAGCTAAAAATATATAGAAAAAATTAGCCAGGCATGGTGGCGCATGCCTGTAGTCCCAGCTCCTTGGGAGGCTGAGGCAGAAGGATCGCTTGAGCCCAGGAGTTTGAGGTTGCTGTGAGCTAGGCTGATGCCACGGCACTCTAGCCTGGGCAACAGAGATTCTGTCTCAATAAATACATACATACATTCATAAATTTTTTTAAAAATAAAAATAAAAAAGAATCCTCAAAATTGCAAAGACCAATAAAAAATTTATTTTCCACTTAATTTATCCAATGCTTTTTTTCCTCTGGCTGAGAATAATCTTTCTTAAAACGTCTTTATTTTCATCACCAGCAGTTTACTTTCACTTGGGGCCAACTTTCACAATGACAAAGCTTTTATCAGCTAACAGAAAGTACTGCCTACCCTGGGATAATAAATAAAGAACCAATAGTTCAGGAGGGGTGTGGCTAGGCTCACTTATGAACAAAGTTACAAGCTCCTGAGCACCCTCCTCCCATCACCAAACACTGGCCTTGGCAAAGTAACAAATTATTACAAGCCAAAGACCTTCAAAGTCACTTGGGAATAGTCAAAGTAGAATTTTAATCCCAGAATTTCAAATATTTACAGAATATAAATATGCGAATACATGCAATATACATATATTTTGTGTATACTTCGTGTATAATTTTGTGTTCTACTTTTTAAAAGTGCATTCTTGTGTGAACTTTCTACCATACCAATAAATAAGGATATTCACTGCAGCCTTGTTTGCAGAAAAAAAAAATGATGGAAGCAATCTGAATGCCTGCAATCAGGGAATGGGTGAATATGTTGTGACTTTCTTATTGACTTGAAAAGGCTGATATATCAATATATAGGTTATAACATTACAAATGTATAATGCCTAACATATCTCTTATAAGTCTTTTCCTTGTTTTGCTATTTATTTTGCTTAGAATGAGGTATGATGAAAGAAATGTTAACTTTTGATGCAGTCAAAATTAGGCTCTTTTCCCTGATTCTTCTCATTTCTTTTATGCCCAGGATGCTCTTCTCCAACCAGATCTTATAAAAGAATTTCCCTATACAGTCTTTTACAGATACATTTTTCATAGTTAACTCTTTAATCCAACTTGAATTTCCTATAAGGTATGAGAAAAGGCTCGAATTTGGTCTCTTCCAGCAATCACTAAATAATCCTTTCACCTGCTGATTTGGCATATATCATATAGTAACACCGTAGATGTCTAAAGTCTATTTCTGAAATCCATCTGTTATATTAATCCAGTATTCAGAGATTCTTCAACTAGTACTGCAGTGGTTCGAAAAGTTTTATGGTGTATTTTAATATCTCAAATTAAAAGTTCACCTTTATTATTCTTTTTAAAATAATACTTGGCTATTCCAGCCTATTTATTATTTTGACAGGTTCCAAAATAAAGTTCATTGTATTTTGATTGTAAATAAATTACAAATATGAATTCAGGAAAATTTGTATATATCATATATATCTATATATATGTAGATGTGTTTGTATATACCCAATATTCATTCTTCCCATTATGACATAAAATTGCAATCTATAAGTTCAAAGAACAAAGTATCTAAATATGAAGAGTTAAAATAATTCTAATCAAGCAGCAAAGTGATTAGCAGTAAAGCAGACTGGCAGTGCAAAAGACCATCTACCATCACATACCAAGATGTTGAGATTTCCCTAAAAGAAACCTCTAAGGCCCTTGGGACACTTGTGATACACTGGGTTGTAAAAATAAATCCTAGCTGGAGGCTTACAGGTGTGCCACTGATGAGCAGGCACGGTCTCACTATAAGAAGGGAATCAGACAAGTTAACCAAAGAAAGTAGGAAGGTCATTCTGGAAGTGGCAACCAGGTCCTAGTGTCCATGTCTAGGCAGTAATTTAAAAACATAACTTTATCTCAGTCCAAGTTTTAGAGACTGCAGCTTCAATCCACCTAAATGGTAAAACAGCTCCTCTCAATTGTGTAAGTGAGGTTGCAACTCTGACGAGGTATAGAAAGAGGACTAGAGGATAAAGTAAATAAACACTTAGAAGTTAGATTTGGGGTTGTTTTGTTATCATCATAATGTGCTGCTGTTACTAAGCTGTCTGAAACATTTAAGACAATCCAATATATTAAAGAATGACACATTAGACTTACAATTTTAATCCGAAATGCTTAAGAAAATGTAATAAGTTCGAAAGTGTTTGCATTTTTAAAAGAACCTTACATTTACATGTTTATTAGACTTATAAGGGTAGCTTAAGTCCTTGGAAAGATTTTACTATTAGGTTTATAAATTCACCTCTTTAGAAGTTTGAAATATTTGAGAGAATCAAAAACATAAAGCTTTAAATGCAGTTCAAAACATTTAAGAAACTTTAATTTGCTTTGTAAAAAGGATCAAGGGAATTTAATCTGTTAAACTGTGCCTTAGGCTGGGCATGGTGGCTCATGCCTGTAATCCTAGCACTCTGGGAGGCTGAGGCTGGAGGACCGCTCAAGGTCAGGAGTTGGAGACCAGCAAGACCCTAGCTCTACTAAAAATAGAAAGAAATTATCTGGACAACTAAAAATATACATATAAAAAGTTAGCGTTTCTTCCACTGGTCATTGACAAAAAATAAAAAAGAAAGAAAAAATAAATAAATAAAAGTTAGCTGGGCATGGTGGCGCATGCCTGTAGTCCCAGCTATTCCGGAGGCTGAAACAGTAGGATTGCTTAAGCCCAGGTGTTTGAAGTTGCTGAAAGCTAGGCTGACGCCACAGCACTCTAGCCTGGGCAACAGAGCAAGACTCTGTCTCAAATAGACAAACAAAATTGTGCCTTAATTTGTCAAAGTTCAAGCATTTATGTATTTTTAAATACACATTCTTAGATTTGTAAATAAAACAAGATTTGTGAGTAAAACTTAAAAGACTTAAAAATAACTATTTGATTCCTAGTTTTTGTTTGTTTGGTTGGTTTTTGTGAGACAGAGTTTCACTCTGTTGCCCTGGCTAGAGTGCTGTGGCGTCAGCCTAGTTCACAGCAACCTCAAACTCTTGGGCTCAAATGATCCTCCCGCCTCAGCTTCCCAAGTAGCTACAGGTGTGCACCACCACACAACACCCAGCTAATTTTTTCTATTTTTAGTAGAGACAGGGGTCTCACTCTTGCTCAAGGCTGACCTCGAACTCTAGAGCTCAAGAGATCCTCCTGCCTCAGCCTCCCAGAGTGCTAAGGTTACAGGCTTGAGCTACAGTGCCCAGCCATAGTTAAGTATTTAAAAACGCAACATTAATGAGTTGCGCGTTGTTCTAAGTATAGCATTCTATACACAGAAACATTCCTCAACTGATGTTACTGAGAAAATGCTACCCCTCCTTTGTATTTCATGTTATTCCCAGAATTGTATATTTTGTCACTGTCAATACATCCTTTTAACCACAGAAAAACTAAATTATGCATGAGTTTGTAATTAGTCCCTTTACCGAAGTCTTTCCTTTTTATCCGGAGAGTGAGTGCCACTTTACTGAATTCTTACATATTAATGGTTTGTTTTTTCCCCCAAAATAGGTAGTCCTATCATCCACAGGAATGAGAATTTTCTCTTCTTTTTTATGAAAAATTACATTTGTTTTTGTTTCATGTCTTATTGCATTGGCTAGACAATATATTCTTCATCATCAAGTTCCTGACTTTAATAGGAATGCCTATAGGTTCAGTGCAATGGTGATTTAAGAGTCATTTTTTAAGTTATTAATAGGTTTTTGGTTTTTTTTTTTTTTTTTTGAGACAGAGTTCTCCTTTGGTTGCCAGGCTAGAGTGAGTGCCGTGGCATTAGCCTGGCTCACAGCAACCTCAATCTCCGGGGCTCAGCGATCCTACTGCCTCAGCCTCCTGAGTAGCTGGGACTACAGGCATGCGCCACCATGCCCGGCTAATTTTTTGTATATATATTTTTTAGTTGGTCAATTAATTTATTTCTATTTTTGGTAGAGACGGGGTCTCGCTCAGGCTGGTTTCGAACTCCTGACCTTGAGCAATCCGCCCGCCTCGGCCTCCCAAAGTGCTAGGATTACAGGCGTGAGCCACCGCGCCGGGCCTGGTTTTTTTTTTTGAGACAGAGTCTCACTCTGTTGCCCAGGCTAGAGTGAGTGCCATGGCATAAGCCTAGCTCACAGCAACCTCAAACTCCTGGGCTCAAGCGATCCTGCTGCCTCAGCCTCCCGAGTAGCTGGGACTACAGGCATGCGCCACCATGCCTGGCTAATTTTTTCTTATATATATTAGTTGGCCAATTAATTTCTTTCATTTATAGTAGAGACGGGTCTTGCTTCTGCTCAGGCTGGGGTTCGAACTCCTGACCTCGGAGCGATCCGCCCGCCTCGGCCTCCCAGAGTGCTAGGATTACAGGCGTGAGCCACCGCGCCCGGCCTTTATTAAGTTATTAAAATATCATCCAATTCTTTAACAACTCAGAATTTTAAAATTAGTGACATGTTGAATTTTATCATTTCTCATAGCCTTAAATACACTTTAAAAATCAGTTTGTCTTAAAAACACAAACATGGAGCAAATAACAGTCCCTGCAGCTAATTCGCGGTACTTCAGGGAAAACGGTCTCCAGAGAAAAACCAGGCTGCGTTACAAGCCAGCACGCTTAAAAACAAAAAACTCACAACCAAACGCTTGGTGTGACCCAATGCCTCCAGGAAATGCGTGTGGACCCGCCACCTTTTCAAACAGGCAGTGACTCCCTCAACCTTCGACTCAGACACGTTGGAGTCTGGAACTTGGATTGAGATTCTTGTAAAATTTTGTTTCTACCTGGTCTACTGAAGTTGGGGCAGTGGCTAACAGTGCTCAGCTGCAGTTAGTTCCCAGTTAATGGTTCCGTTTTAAGGTGCCACACACTATGCCTGGCGTCTGTCTTCCTGTTGTCACAACTTCTTCTAAAGTGAAAACCGCAGCAAGGCTAACGAGAGGACCCTGTCCCGACCACGACACGCACCTTTGTCACGAGCGCCGACGCGGGCCGCAGACGTCCCCCCGCGGCGGTCCTCATGCCGACCCGGGATCCCGGGCTGCGGCACAGCTAGCGGCCAGCTCCCGAGCCATGCCTCCGGGCGGGCGGCCGGCCCGTGCCGCGGCCCATGGCCCGGGGGAGCCTCGTCAGCCGCGCCGCGCGCCGGCCCAGGAGGAAGCGGAGAAATGCCAAGTCGGAGTCCGCGAAGCAACTCGGGGCACAGCGGCGGGGCGGCCACCGGGCGCCCTGGGAGAACTTGCCGCGCGGGACCCGACGCTCGGACGCTGCCTCCGGAAGCCGGCCGTCGAGAAGCGCTCTCCAAAGAACCCAGGCGGCGGGACGGACGAGCGTAAACACCGGGGCCTCCCGGGCTGCGAGCGGCCGAGCAGAGCCCGCCGGGCGCGGGGCCCCAGGCTCGGGAGGACGCTGGCTTCCAGGCCGCGCCGAGGTCCGTCCGGGCAGCTGCCGGGCGCAGCGACGGGGCCAGCCGGCGCCTCGAGCTCGGGAATGGCCCTGGAGCCCGCGCCGGACCAACGGCCGTAACGGAAGCGCCGAGGGGGTGGGGGACTGAGTCCAGGGCCCGGGAGCGGGACGGGCCGCAAGGCCGGCTCCCTCTGGCGCTCGGCTGGCCGCACCGTCGCCGCCGCCGCCTCAGACCGCTGGCGCTTCGTTGTCACGAGCCGGAGGGAGGGGGAAGGAGCCGGGAACCTCAGCTCTCCGGCGCGCGGACACCTCCGCGCCCGCGTCACGTGCCACCCAGCCGGCCAATGATCTCAGCCGAGCGCGGTGACGTCAGGGCATCGGCGTGGCCGATGACAACCGGCCCCCGTCACGTGGCCGGGCGCACTCCAATGGGCGGTGCCGGGGCGACCTGATGTTCCCGGCGGCCAGTGCGTCGGCGGTGGTTGGGTGGTAAGATGGCGGCTGTGAGTCTGCGGCTCGGCGATTTGGTGTGGTGAGTCCAGGCGGCCGGGCTAACAGAGACGCTGTGGGGAGCTGCCCTGCTGGGCGCGGGGCTCGCGGCCAGCCCCGGAGCTGTCTCTACGCGCTCCAGGCCGCGGAAGGAGGGGAACACAAGGTGCCGGCTCTTGCGAGCGACGCCGGGCGGAAGGGGCAGTCCAGCCCCGGGGGACTGAGGCCGAGGGTGGCCACGGCGGGCCCGGGCTATGAGGCCGCCCGAGGGAGGGCTGCACTCGGGGCTCAGACGCCGGTGGCTCCTGCAAAGGGAGCCCCCGTGCAGCCCGGCTTCCGCAGACGCCAGGTCCCGGGTCTTGCTGGCGCTTCCCGGAAAGCAGGAGAGCCGGGGAACCTGCGGGGCCATCTCGCTAGGGCAAGTCCGTCCAAACCTTCGTAAACGATGGAACCGACCCGTGCGGGCGGCTCGGCCGGGGGTGTCGAAACCGGACTGCTGGCGCTGCCCCGTGAAGACACGGAGAGGAGACTTCTCCTTTGCAACTGATGGCTTGGCAGTGACCAGTGCCGCCTTGGGTGCCACTCGTGGTCTGCTTCTGTGTCCCAGACAACCACTGGAACCAAGATTGACTGTCGCCGCCTCCTTCGAGCTGCGTAGCTTGTTTCTCCTCCCAGAGGGAGGCTTGTATTAGCATTTGTCAAAGCCGTGCTGGTCTCCTGTTGAATTATACCAGACTTAGTAAAGGGAAGTCTGTGTTTACAGAAACTCCCCGCCCCTGTCATTGCAAAGCTTTAGACAAATCACTCTTGACCATTTTGTTGTTCTGTATTCCTTGTCAACAGAAGAATGCACATAAGTTATGCACATACGTATACATTTCAAGAAATGGAAATGCATTCTATTTCTTAAGGTCTTGGGCCCAGCTGTGGAAGCCAGATTAAGAACTGTTTGCCAGCCTTTGTTCTGACCCTTGAGGGTGCCAGAAGAGATTTAGGAAAATAAGTTGTGTATTGAGTGGGTTGAAGAAGATGGACTGGCTTTTCCAGGGCAAATGGTGACTTTTTGTGTTTTCTCTAGGGGTAAACTCGGCCGGTATCCTCCTTGGCCAGGAAAGGTGAGTGTCTTGCTACTAAAGGAAGATATCTGAAGTTGAGTTTGAGGAGATGGTGAATATAACATGCAGTCCCCTCTATTTCTAGCACTGAGTTAACCTAGGCCTATTAAAATAATATTTAGAATTTTGTTTTCTCTAGTGTCAGTTATTTTAGAAAAGATAATACACTATAAACCAGATCTTTAATCTGCAGTAAATCCTTACTTCTTGAATCAGAGATTTGCCATTTTTTAACCCCAGAAATCAATTCTAATTTGAATTTGGCTTTATGCTTACATCTAACAAAAGGAGAAGAAAATTAATTCTCCAGGAAGAGAGAAATCTAAATGTAGGTTAGTGAAAAGCCAAAGTATTTTTGTCCCAACTAAGTTTAACTCTTTTTTCCATGTTACCATATGTGCTGCTCCAGTGCATCTTTGCAGAAGTTGGCATTCCAGATTTTGCATGAGGTGAAACCTACCATAGCTTTCCAAATGTTCTGTTTTTATATTGCTAGGAGCCCAGGAAATGTCTTTACACTATTTGCAATATGGTATTTTCCGTGCTCAGTTGTCCTTTATTTTCACTTACCTGTCTCAACTCTTCCTGAACAAGAAGTATTTCGAAGTGTCCTATACATTTCTTCTGTAATGACAGTGTCACACTGTGGAAGAAATGATGTTGATCTTAGTTTTAACTGCTTGTAGAACAGGGCCATTGCAGTAAAAGGGATATTGTGTCTACTGAGTACTGTGCTACCTGTTAAATATAGGGAACTTGTAGAATATTTGCTCATTTCCACACATCTCAGTAGGAAAGTCCTAGGTTTGGACACATACTAGGTCTTGGGTCCTTTTTTGTACATAGTTCTTTTGTTGCATTTTTTTCTTACCAACATAGAGCTATTGAAAATTACTTTCTAGCAGGCTGCTGTGCTACCATCAAACCTTTTTTCCCCCTCTTATTCTCCAGATTGTTAATCCACCTAAGGACTTGAAGAAACCACGTGGAAAGAAATGCTTCTTTGTGAAATTTTTCGGAACAGAAGATCAGTGAGTAGTACTCACCAAGAGTTTCACTTTGCCTTTGTTTGGGTGTTACCTCGAGTCTGAGCTGCTTTGAGAATATTCTAGGGAGCCTCAGTTCAGTCATCTTGTAGTATATAAGAATGGCATACCATTCTGTTTTCTTACCTAAATAAAGCTGCGGTTTCTTTCAAAAGTTGTCCTGGGCAACTGTCCTGGGACCTGAATCAGTCAGGTAAGAACTAGAGTTCATCACCTTCTTAATATAATAATTACATTGCGATAGTTTCTTACATCTTTCTTTACCCAGCTCCATAAGCAGTTCCTTTTTAAAGAGCCATGTTTGATTCTCTTTTAATGCTGTATGTCATTATGGTTCATTAATGAGGTATACAGTGAAAACTAAAATTTTATTTATCTTAATAAAAGTTATTATTCTGTCCTCTTTTGTAAAACTAGATGATTTCCCTCTAGTAGAGCTAGCAATAATAAAGTTTTATTACCAGATCTGTCCTAAAGCTGAGGAAATTAGTACCATTAATCACAAGTGTTTTAAACTGACATAAGGCCATATAAGAAGTCACACTGAGGGGAAGAATGTGTGTGTTTTAACCTGAGTTTCTGGTGATTTGTTTAGCTTTTTCATCAAGTTCATTACCTGGGTCTAGCTAGATTGGTTTCTTTAAGTAGTTGTATTTCTAGGTATGATTCTTATAGGCAAATGTAGCTTTAGGTTTGGAAAAATGTCCGTGACTTTTCTGGTAAATCTAGTACTGATGGTTAAAATATTTGGTTTTAGAAGGCGATATATTATACGCAGTGTTGTTCATCCATTCAGGAGTTTATACATCAGAGTGCTCTTCCTGGGTTAGTGTTTGCATAGCATGTCTACCTTCACAATACAAATACACCCACCTCTGTCACAGGCCAACTTAGCAGCCCCATGGTGGCAATATCTCAGAGGAGTCACTGGCCTGGAGCTTTGAGAGCCAGAGCCCCTGGAAGAGGGAATGTTCTTGTAATGCCATGGATTCCATAAGGAAGATTGTCCTGATGCATAAAACGAGTGTTAATTGCATGTCCACACTCTGCATTGTTGACACTGAAGGGAACTTCCAGGAAAGTGGATGTTGTGGTCCCTGCCTTCCAGATGCTAAGTTAAATGAGAAAATGTAAACATTTCAGAGGGAATTATGTGTGGAATGAATGATGTAGGTAATTATTAAAGGATTCTAGAAGAGGAAGAAGCCAGTGGAAGAACAGTGAGGTCCAAGAAGGCTGATGAAAGAGATGGGATTTTAGTCCAGCTCCGGATTCAGATAGAATAGAATTTGGATGGGCAGAAACAATAAGGGTATTCCAGGCATGAGCGTACTGTGAGCAACAGGCATTCAGCTCTGTGCGTCATGGGAAGAGAGGGGCTCCCTACCTGGGGTAACTTGTGCTTGGGAATAACAGAGGCAATATGGTTGGCCCAAACTTGGTTGGCTAAATAAAGAATTACACAACTCTGAAACAAAAATGGGAACTCTGGTTACTATGGGCCGGAAAGCCATTGTTTCCTTATAATTTTATTTTAAATGCTGAAAGGCTAGATGAATAAACTGTCATCCTTGTGTATAAGTACTAGAAATAAGACACACAAAATTGGAGTAAGTGAATTTCAGTGCTCAACCCAGGCAAACAAGTGAAGCCAATGATGATGTACTGACTGAACACAAAAATAACCTAATGCTGTTGGTGGTGGTGGTAATAAGATTTCTAACTGACTGACTAAAGTTCTTTAGGGGATCATAAGCAAGTGGATGCAGGGAAACTGCTAGATAGAATAACTTTTTAAACTCACTTGATGGAGTTTCACATGAAAAAATATTTAAAAATTAAGTCTCTATGGGACTAATATGTTGGCTTTTTGTGGGTAGGTAGTTAACTTAGAGAAAGGAAATAAAGGTTCAGGATCTATTGCAGTTCTCTACAGGAGGAACACTTCCTTAGTGATTAGGGCTAAGGCAGATTTTATTTAGTATCTTTCTGTTATCTAAAGTAAGGTCTCCAGATTGGCTTGTGGCAGCAGATTACTTCAAGGAAAGAGTTCCAGATTGGTTACTGGCCTAATGTGCATCAGATACTGGTTCTACCTGCTCTATGATCTGGGCAAGCTGTTTCACCTCTAAGCCCCCATGTCCTCCTCCACATGTAGGGATAATGCTCCCTACCTCATAGTTATTAAGGAAAAGTAGCATCACTGAAGTAGAATGTGGTTGGGCATACAGCACATGTTCAAACATGTGGTCAGGGTATAGATGTTATAAGAGAGAGAAAGAGCTGGTAAGAAGCAGGTGCCTTTAAGAAAAGGAAATCCAAGAGACAGATACAGACTCTGCCCATAAAAGAGGGAGAGCAAGTAGGTGTGCTTGTGTTTGAAAAGAAAGAAATCTGAGAGTTGGAGATTTCAAGGATGTCAGCCAGGTTTACTCTTTTTACCAAAAAGGCTTTGAACACAAAGCAATACATAATTCCACTTTTTTTTTTTTTTTTAGATATAGGGGTCTCTATTGCCT